CAGACGTGTGCTCTTCCGATCTTATGATTTATTTTTTAAGAATTCTTAGGATTTATAGGGTTGACCAAATTACGCTATGAAAAAGAAAAATCTTGATTTTTTGTGTTTCGGGAAAATGATCATATTTTTTGTTTGCGATGAGATAGAAGGTAGGTATATTCGAGAAAAAGTTGCGCTAGGTTTTTATTTTTCCAGCGGTTTATTTGGTTTCATGAAATTCGAAAAAATACGAGTTTTAGAGTTGTTTAAAAAAAAGGTAACCAAATTACGCTATACTCCCCTATAATTAAGTAATTATATTGCTTAATTATCATTTAATTAATTAATTATCGTTTAATTTAATAATTAAATAGCATTTAATCGATTATTATCATTTAATTAATTAGTCAGTTATTATTAACCGATTAATTAATTATAATTTAATTAATTAACGATTAATTAATTAATTAACCCCCTTCACCCCTGACCTACATTCCCCCCTCCCCCTTGACCATGGATCAGGACCTACATTTTCCCCCATCTTGACCTACATTTTATCCAGAACCGGCCTTTATTTACTACTAATGTGTTGCTTTTTAATAAAAAAACAGAGCGTAATTAATTTGAGAAATATTTGCAGCATATAAAAGAAGTCTTCTTATACTGTAAAAATTGCGGCAATATGCTGCTTATTTAATCATCGTCAATTTCTTTTAAATTAAATAAGCAACATATTGCCGCAATTTTTACAGCATAAGAAGACTTCTTTTATATGCTGCAAATATTTTTAAAATTAATCACGCTCTGTTTCTGATTAAATAAGCAGCACATTGCTGAAATTTTTATACCATCAGAAAACCTTTTTTATATGCTGTTTCCATTTATTTCATTTGGCGACGCATCTTACGGTAATTATGTTCTAATTTTATATTGTCCAAATTTTATCAATATGTCTATTTGGGAACGTAGAAATAATTTTACTGTAAAATTTTTGTATGAAATATTTTTTGATATCTTGAAAAGTTTTCGCGATATAACAAAAAATGAAAAAATCGCTTTATTGTAAAGAGTGACTTTTAAAATCGTTTTTCTACCATAACTGATATTTTGTAAATTTATCTATTTACGTAACCTATATGAATACAAAACTTCTTTAAAATTAGAACTTGTCACATTTGTTTTAAAACTAGTATATTCACATATATCAACTAGTGTATATTCACATATATCAATCTAATATTTTGATTTATTTTTCCGTGATAAAATATATAATTTATTTCCACACCTTGTAGTAGATAGCACGGTATGCGTTTTATTTATAGTAGTTTTCCAAATCAGCTTAATCCACTCTCATCTTTTAATGCATAAGTTATTTGAAAAGTTGTCCTCCCTTTTGATAGTTTTTGAAATATAATATTTAAAATAACATTTTTATCTTGAATAATTGTTAAGACATAATATGTACTGTGACGTGACGTTTTTCGATCGTCCGTCACAAGGGCCATAATGCCCGACCGAGGAAGCGCGGTTTCGGATCCTGCGTCCTCCCCGATTTGGGGGCGAGCATATCCGCGCGTTTTCGTATTGTATTTTTACGCGCTTTACTTAATCTTTTCTTTCCACCTGAGTGTCACAACAGGTAGAAATCGGCGACGTAGCAAAACATCGCGTGTAAAATCTCGCCGTTTCTACCAACTGGCGAAAAGGAGAAGGAGGATACCGACATTGGAACAATTGGCTCGTCGTGGGAAGCACGGAGCATGCAGGTTAGCTACGATTTTCCGAGAAATATTAGTACTGGTGCCCTTTATTGCGATCCCTTTACTGCTGTTGACTTTTTTCAGCGACCATTAACGAGAGACAGACCACCGACCGAACGCAACCGCCGTCCAACGCCGAAGAAAGCCGTGAGGAAAGGACATGTCATAGAAGCAATGGATTCACACGGTTGCGGAGAACCCGATTGCCGAAGGCGGAAAGTACGAGGACCAGGCGGATGAGCGTACGCAGGATAGCCGAGAAGGTCGCGGGCCAGAGGCCCGGAAAAGTCAGGCCAAATTTGAAGCTCGCGCCGCCAATTGCGGGCGATTCGATCACGTGCGACGCCGTGATTCGCGGGCGTCGCGCTCGCAGGGCAAAGGCCAATCGGTGCGTTATCAGCCGATCTCGTGACACCTCGCGGCCTGCGTGTTGCCGGAAGGACTGCCGTACGACACTTGAGCTGTGGTCGTTGTCAGGGAAGGTTCCATATTAAGGCCTTCACACATAAAATCCCGTAAAGCCGTAAGACGTAAGCATAAGAAAATCGACCCATTCCCAATTGAGTGGAGGGGTTACAGACAACCTAATACTCAATTGGG